GTAAAAGGTAAAGGTAAAAGGTAAAGGTAAAGGTAAGGTAGGTAAGGTAAAAGGTAAAAGGCAAAGGCAAGGCAAAGGTAAAAGGTAAAGGTAAGGTTAGGTAAGGTAAAAAGAAAAAGTAAAAGTAAGGTAGGTAAGGTTGGTAAGTAAGGTAGGTAGGTAGGTAGGTAGGTAGGTAAAAGGTAAAGGTAAGGTAAGGTAGAGTAAGTAAGTAAGTAAGGTAGGTAAGGTAAGGTAAGGTAGGTAGGTAGGTAAAGAGTAAAAGTAGGGAGGTAGGTAGGTAAAGTAAAAAGGTAAGGTAAGTAAGTAAGTAAAAGGTAAGGTAGGTAGTAAGGTAAGGTAAGGTAGGTAGGTAAGGTATGTAAGGTAGGGTAGGGGTAGGTAAGAAAGGTAGGTAAGGTAAGGTAGGTAAAGGTAAAAGGTAGGTAGGGAGGTAGGTAGGTAAAAGGTAAAAGGTAAAGGTAGGTAAGTAAGGTAGGAATGGTAAGGTAGGTAGGTAAGTAAGGTAGGTAGGTAAGGTAAAAGGTAAGAAAGGTAGGTAAAGGTAAGGTATGTAAGTAAGGTAGGTAAGGTAAGGTAGGTAAGTAAGTAAGGTAGATAAGGTAGGTAAGTAAGGTAGGTAGGTAGGTAGGTAAGGTAGGTAAGTAAGGTGGATAAGGTAAGGTAGGTAAGTAAGGTAGGTAAGTTAAGGTAGGTAAGTAGGCAGGTAAAGTGAGGTAGGTAAGTAAGGTAGGTAAGGTAAGGAAGGTAAATAAGGTAGGTAAGGTCAGGTAGGTAAGTAAGGTAGGTAAGGTAAGGTAGGTAAGTAAGGTAGGTAAGTAAGGTAGGTAAGTAAGGTAGGTAGGTAGGTAGGTAAGGTAAGGTAAGGTAAGGTAGGTAGGTAGATCGTGATGGGGGTAAGGTAGGTAGGTAGGTAATTAAGGTAGGTAGGTAGGTAAGTGGGTAAGGTAGGTAGGTATGTAGTGATGTTGGTAGGTGGGTAGTGAGGTAGATAGATTGGTAGGTTTGTAAGGTAGGTAGGCTGGTATGTAAGTAAGGTAAGTTAGGTAGGCTGCTAAGTAAGGTAGGTGAGGTAAGGTAGGTAAGTAGGTTAGGTAGGTAGGTAGGTAGGTAGGTAGGTGGGTATGTAAGGTAAAGGTAAGTAAAAAGTAAGTAGGAATGGTAAGGCAGGGGTAGGTGAGTAAGGGAAGGTAAGGTAAGGTAAAGGTAGGTAGGTAGGTAGGTAAGTAAGTAAGGTAAGGTAGGTGAGTAAGGTAGGTAAGGTAGGTAGGCAAGGTAGGTAGGTAAGGTAGGTAAGGTAAGGAAGGTAAATAAGGTAGGTAAGGTAAGGTAGGTAAGTAAGGTAGGTAAGGTAAGGTAGGTAAGTAAGGTAGGTAAGTAAGGTAGGTAAGTAAGGTAGGTAAGTAAGGTAGGTAGGTAAGGTAAGGTAATGTAAGGTAGGTAGGTACATCGTGAGGGAGGTAAGGTAGGTAGGTAGGTGATTAAGGTAGGTAAGTAGGTAAGTGGGTAAGGTAGGTAGGTATGTAGTGATGTTGGTAGGTGGGTAGTGAGGTAGATAGAGTGGTAGGTTTGTAAGGTAGGTAGGCTGGTAGGTAGGTAAGGTAAGGTAGGTAGGTTGCTAAGTAAGGTAGGTGAGGTAAGGTAAGGTAGGTAAGTAAGGTAGGAATGGTAAGGTAGGTAGGTAAGTAAGGTAGGTAAGGTAAGGTAGGTAAGAAAGGTAGGTCAGGTAAGGTATGTAAGTAAGGTAGGTAAGGTAAGGTAGGTAAGTAAGTAAGGTAGATAAGGTAGGTAAGTAAGGTAGGAAGGTAGGTAGGTAAGGTAGGTAGAAGTAGGGTGGGTAAGGTGGGTAGGTAAGTAAGGTAGGTAAGTTAAAGGTAGGTAAGTAGGCAGGTAAAGAGTGGGGTAGGTAGGTAAGGGTAGGGTAAGGTAAGGAAGGTAAAATAAGGTAGGTGGTAAGGTAAGGTGGGTAAGTAAGGTGGGTAAGGTAAGGTGGGTAAGGTAAGGTAAAGGTAGGTAAGTAGGTAGGTAAGGTGGGTGGGTAGGTGGGTAAAAGGTGGGTAAAAGGTAAGGTAGGTAGGTAGATCGTGATGGGGGTAAGGTAGGTAGGTAGGTAATTAAGGTAGGTAGGTAGGTAAGTGGGTAAGGTAGGTAGGTATGTAGTGATGTTGGTAGGTGGGTAGTGAGGTAGATAGATTGGTAGGTTTGTAAGGTAGGTAGGCTGGTATGTAGGTAAGGTAAGTTAGGTAGGCTGCTAAGTAAGGTAGGTGAGGTAAGGTAGGCAAGTAGGTTAGGTAGGTAGGTAGGTAGGTAGGTGGGTATGTAAGGTAAGGTAGGTAAGTAAGGTAGGAATGGTAAGGCAGAGTAGGTGAGTAAGGAAGGTAAGGTAAGGTAGGTAGGTAGGTAGGTAAGGTAAGGTAAGGTAGGTGAGTAAGGTAGGTAAGGTAGGTAGGCAAGGTAGGTAGGTAAAAGGTAGGTAAAAGGTAAGGAAGGTAAAATAAGGTAGGTAAGGTAAAGGGAGGTAAGTAAGGTAGAGTAAGGTAAAGGTAGTGTAAGGTAAGGTAAAGGTAAAAGTAAGGTAGGTAAAGAAGGTAGGTAAGTAAGGTAGGTAGGTAAGGTAAGGTAATGTAAGGTAGGTAGGTACATCGTGAGGGAGGTAAGGTAGGTAGGTAGGTAATTAAGGTAGGTAGGTAGGTAAGTAGGTTGGGTAAGGTAGGTAGGTATGTAGTGATGTTGGTAGGTGGGTAGTGAGGTAGATAGATTGGTAGGTTTGTAAGGTAGGTAGGCTGGTAGGTAGGTAAGGTAAGGTAGGTAGGTTGCTAAGTAAGGTAGGTGAGGTAAGGTAGGTAAGTAGGTTAGGTAGGTAGGTAGGTAGGTAGGTGGGTATGTAAGGTAAGGTAGGTAAGTAAGGTTGGTAAGGTAAGGTAGGTAAGTAAGGTAGTAAGTAGGTATGTAGGTCGGTAGTGAGGTATGTAGGTAGGTAGGTTGGTAGGTAGGTAGGTAAGGTAGGTAGGTATGTAGGTAGGTAGTGAGGTAAGTAGGTAGATAGGTTGGTATGGTAGAGTAGGTAGTGGTAGGTAGGTAGGTAGGTAGGTAGGTAGGTAGGTAGGTAGGAGTTGGTGGTAAGGTAGGTAGGTAGGTAGGTAGGTAGGTAGGTAGGTAGGTAGATAGGTAGGTAAGGTAGGTAGGTAGTGAGGTAGGTAGGTAGGTAAAGGTAGGTAAGTAAGGTAGGTAAGTAGGTTGGTAGGTTGGTTGTGAGGTAGGTAGGTAAGGTAGGTAGGTAGGTAGGTATGTAGAGTAGGTTTGTAGAGGTAGGTAGGTAAAAGAGTAGAGTAAGTAGAAATAAAAGTAGGTGCAAGGTACAGTCAGGTAGGTAGAGTACATGGAGTAGGTAGGTAGGTAGGTAGGTAGGTAGGTAGGTAGGTTGGTAAGGTAGGTAGGTAGAGTAGTGAGTAGGAGGTAGGTAGGTTGATAGGGAGGTAGGTGGGTGGGTAACTTGGTAGGTAGGTTGGTAGGTAAGGTAGGTAAGGTAGGTAAGTAAGCTAGGTAAGTAAGTAGGTACAGGTGGGATTTGGTAGGTAGTGAGGTAGGAAAAAGGTAAGGTAAGGTACAGTAGGTAGGTATTTAGTGAGTAATTAGGTTAGTAGGTTAGGTAGGTAGGTAGGTAAAAGTAGGTAGGTAGGTAGGTAGGTAGGTAGGTAGGTTGTGAGGTAGGTAAGTAAGTAAGTAGGTAAGTAAAAGGTAGGGTAAGTAAGGTAGAGTAAGTAGGTAGGTAGGTAAGGTAAGTAAGGTAGGTAAGGTAAGGTAAAGTAGGCAGGTAGTTAGGTAGGTAATGAGGTAGGTAGGTAGGTAGTGAGGAAGGTAGGTAGGTAGGTAGTGAGGTAGATAGGTAGGTGCTAGATGGGTAGGTGCTGAGGTAGATGAGGTAGGTAGTGAGGTAGGTAGGTAGGTAGGTAGTGAGGTAGGTAAGGTAGGTAGGTAGTGAGGTAGGTAGGTAGGTAGGTAGGTAGGTACGGTAGGTAGGTAAGTTGGTAGGTAGGTAGTGAGGTAGTGAGGTAGGTAGGTAAGTAGGTGAAGTAATGTAGATTGGTATGTTTGTAGGTAGGTAGTTAGGCAGGTAGGTATGTAGGTAAGGTAAGGTAGGTAGGTAGGTAGAAGGTAGGTAGGTAGGTAAGGTAGTTAGGTAAGGTAAGGTCTGTAAGTAAGGTAGGCAGGTGGGTAAGTTAGGTAGGTAGGTAGGTAGGTAGGTAGGTAGGGTAGGTATTGCTATATATTGGGAGCTAAAGTGTTTGACAGTAAGTGCCACTAACTGTGCGTGTCGATCCTATATTCTACATTATAAGTTCCCAAACATACGTGTATATGTTATGGTTCTGATACCAGCAATCCCAACATTAGGTAGCATAGTCAGGGATTATATTTTCTTTTTTATACAGTTTAAACTTTTACAGCATGCCGCGTTGTCATTGAATAACGAAAGGAAACATTGTGAATGGAAGTCTGTGTAGACTGTGTAGATTATAATTTAAACTATACAGATGATCATAAAATCTTCGTATATGTTTTTTACATAATATACAGGTTCTCAGGGGAAAATATTTCAATGCGTATCGTTTGAAAAGCGGTATACCGGTAATACCGTGCAGTCCTATTAAATTCTTATTCTCTTGTCACGATGGAAATTTGTCACTATTATAAATGGTTCAGTTTATATAATTTACGATTTAAACCGTATACATGGATTTTCACAGAAGGATAAAACATGTTTGGGCAATTGCCTAACCGGGACTTTCACAGTATTATGATCACAAAACATCACGCAATTCTGGCGTATTGTAGTGTAAACATTTCATCATCACAAGATATTTATTAATCTTCAGATATTTAACAACTAATTTATGAACATTTGCTTTCCTTAAATATTAGTTTGTTGGACCACATAACGAGTTTTCCCCGTCCTTCCCATTTTATATATATAATGTATATACCGTGGCTTGCCTTACCTGTTATAGGGTTACAAAAAAGGTCCATGTTGGTCCCATTGCAGCCAAGTGTGCAGTACCCTGTTTGCTGGTTACATCTCCTTTCTGGACAGGTGACGCTGCAGGATTGGTCACACAGATCACCATGACAACCACGCCGACATCCCCCAAGACACTTCCCCGTGTCTCTGTCACAGCACTGAAGATTTCTTGGTGGAACAAGGGCACAGTTCACATGACAAGTCAAGTTACAGTGCTCGCCATATTTCCTCCACTCACACAAACTGTTGTCTTGAACAGCTATGGCTGAAACAGGGCATTACACGGTGTCAGTGTTCAAATCCATATTGTGTTGTCTTCATTCATGCATGTCAACATCTTTAAACAGAAATTGCACGAATGGAAGGCCTGTGAGATAAATCACTTATGTATTTCCAAAAGTCTATTAAACGTTTCACTGAAGCTTCTATCAGCAAAACTTAGTCGTTGACATGAGGTACTCACAGGCTGACAGTGCAGTAAAGAACAGAATCCACATCCTTGAAAGTTGATTCAACATCGAAGTTGTTTTCAGTTGCCTGTTGTGACAGAAACATGACAAATCCACATCCTGTGACATTTATTAACATAAATACAGAAACATACTTCTTTATGTAGATGTGATCATGTGCATACATTAGACAGAGAAAAGCAACTCCTTCAGTTTTACTACCAGAGGGACCTGGAAATGAAAATTCTTCACCAGATACAAATAACCGTGACCTCAATTATCTGATAGAAAACAACCCAGATGCAGTACAATCTTATTCCGTTTCATCACTTTGGTTTCAAGAAAACATTACCAATCGACTTGTGGTCGAGTACTTAGTGACCTTGATCAAGGAAGTTTGATTTCAATCTCAGTTCAAAATTATATTCCTTTTTCTGAAGAATGCGAACACAAAACAGAAAAGGTCACTTCACATCAGGGTGAATGGCAATTTTATTATATTCTCTCCCAAAAAAGGAACGCATCATGAAAATAGCAATTTCATGTAGCAATCAATTAAAACGTGATTCATTTTACAAATGGTTTTGCTCTGTTTATGAGTCCTATGATGTTTATGTTTTGAAACATCACAACAAAACGGACCATCCGTAAAATACCCGTATTTAACAGCATGGTTTTCAATTTCGGCGTGTAGTATCACAGAATACACAATGCACATGCAATGCACGTGAAAGTTGGGGATCAGATAGTCTCAATGATGGGTATAAAAGGTTGATCGCTGTCTGTCGATTATTCACTGTATTTGGAATATTGTTGACGAACGCAAAATGCCACGTCTAAGTGATGCCAACCGTCATATCGCCATTGGTTTGTTTGAAGCTGGCCAGTCTCAACGTGCAGTTGCCCGACGCATGAATGTTCACCAAAGCACCATTTCAAGGCTCTGGGAGAGATATCGCCGGCAGAATGCGGTAGCAGATGTCCCTCGTAGTGGGCGATCTCGAGCGACCACTGCGGGCCAGGATCGCTACATCCGGGTACATCACCTGCGTCATTGAACAGCTACGGCGACCAGTACCGCTCGACAAATACCCGGATTGAGGAGGCTTTCTGCACAGACCGTCAGGAACAGGTTGAGAGAGGCTGGTTTACGTGCCAGGAGACCTTATTTTGGCCCTGTGCTTCGACAACAACATCGTCGACATCGAGTTCAATGGTGCACCAACGTTCAGGCCTGGAACCTACCGAATTGGCGTGGAATCTGCTTCAGTGATGAATCACGATTTCTATTGGAACGACACGATGGAAGAATGCGGGTGTACAGACGTCGACATGAACATTTCGCCTACGCTTGCGCCCACACCTCCTTCCAATCATTGATCGCCAGAGGGAGTTGTTTCAACAGGACAATGCTAGGCCCCACACAACACAACACACAAGAGACTTCCTCCAGAACCACAACATCAATGTGCTCCCCTGGCCCTCAAGATCACCGGACTTAAACCCGATCGAATATCTGTGGGATGCCCTGGACAGACGGGTGCGACGCCGTAAGCCTCAGCCCCAGACACTTCAGCAACTCGCACAGGCAGAGTGGGTTGCGATTGGGCACCACGAGATTCTGAGACTTATTCGTTCGATGCCGTGCAGTTCTTGATGCCCACGGTGGTCACACGAGGTATTGACTTCAGCGCCACCACACGTCTCCATGTGACACTCAAACTGACTTTCCTCGAGTTGGTGCCAAAGACGGATTAGTCTGCATTCCCAGTGTGCAATTTCGCTATATTTCATTGACTCATAAAGCCTATAAGATGTTTCAAAATAAACATAAAAATATAGTTGAAATTAATATATGCGTTTCCTTTTTGGGAGAGTATATATTACTCGAGATACACCTCTGAACTTTGTCTTGCGTCCGTTGTCCACCATCTTCAACTATCAACCGAGGGCACCAAAAAGAAACGTTTCTTGGGCAATAACAGCATGAAAAATTGTAACCTGAACCTAACTCAAATTATCAAAAGCGGTTTTAGACTTTACCTGGGATATTTAACATGTTGACCTTTCAACGAGATAGTCAACATGATATGTTTATGATACAAAGACATACAGAGAGCAGTGTCTCACTCACCTCACCTCACCTCACCTCCCTTGCTGTCAGGTTATAATTTTACTTTACTAAAAAATACTCTTGAAAAAATTGAAACTTTGAAATTTGAATTTTGGGGAAAACATTTGACACAAACCAATCCATGCTGAATCCGAACGTATGGGGGGATGGTTGCAGGCGACAAAACGTTTAAAAGAGTAGAAACGTTGAACAGAAACGTAAGGTTACACTTACATTTGTAGTGAATCGCTAAAACGCACCCTACATGAAATACATGTGGCCTGACGGCATAGCAGAATGAGGTGGCAATGCACTTCGACGTGTCCAGACAGAACATCTCAAACCTATTGACCCGATACAACAATACAGACAGAACATCTCAAACCTATTGATCCGATACAACAATACAGAGAGAACATCTCAAACCTATTGATCTGATACAAGAATACAGACAGAACATCTCAAACCTATTGACCCGATACAACAATACAGACAGAACATTTCATACCTATTGACCCGATACAACAATACAGACAGAACATCTCAAACCTATTGACCCGATACAACAATACAGACAGAACATCTCAAACCTATTGATCCGATACAACAATACAGACAGAACATCTCAAACCTATTGACCCGATACAACAATACAGACAGAACATCTCAAACCTATTGACCCGATACAACAATACAGACAGAACATCTCAAACCTATTGATCCGATACAACAATACAGACAGAACACCTCAAACCTATTGACCCGATACAACAATACAGACAGAACATCTCAAACCTATTGACCCTGATACAACAATACAGACAGAACATCTCAAACCTATTGACCCGATACAACAATACAGACAGAACATCTCAAACCTATTGACCCGATACAACAATACAGACAGAACATCTCAAACCTATTGACCCGATACAGGAATACAGACAGAACATCTCAAACCTATTGACACGATACAAGAATACAGACAGAACATCTCAAACCTATTGACCCGATACAACAATACAGAGAGAACATTTCAAACCTATTGACCCGATACAACAATACAGACAGAACATTTCAAACCTATTGACCCGATACAACAATACAGACAGAACATCTCAAACCTATTGACCCGATACAACAATACAGACAGAACATCTCAAACCTATTGACCCGATACAACAATACAGACAGAACATCTCAAACCTATTGACCCGATACAACAATACAGACAGAACACCTCAAACCTATTGATCCGATACAACAATACAGACAGAAAATCTCAAACCTATTGATCCGATACAACAATACAGACAGAACATCTCAAACCTATTGACCCGATACAAGAATACAGACAGAACATCTCAAACCTATTGACCCGATACAACAATACAGACAGAACATCTCAAACCTATTGATCCGATACAACAATACAGACAGAACATCTCAAACCTATTGACCCGATACAACAATACAGACAGAACATCTCAAACCTATTGATCCGATACAACAATACAGACAGAACATCTCAAACCTATTGACCCGATACAAGAATACAGACAGAACATCTCAAACCTATTGACCCGATACAACAATACAGACAGAACATCTCAAACCTATTGATCCGATACAACAATACAGACAGAACATCTCAAACCTATTGAACCGATACAACAATACAGACAGAACATCTCAAACCTATTGACCCGATACAACAATACAGACAGAACATCTCAAACCTATTGACCCGATACAAGAATACAGACAGAACATCTCAAACCTATTGACCCGATACAACAATACAGACAGAACATCTCAAACCTATTGACCCGATACAACAATACAGACAGAACATTTCAAACCTATTGACCCGATACAACAATACAGACAGAACATCTCAAACCTATTGACCCGATACAACAATACAGACAGAACATCTCAAACCTATTGATCCGATACAACAATACAGACAGAACATCTCAAACCTATTGACCCGATACAACAATACAGACAGAACATCTCAAACCTATTGACCCGATACAACAATACAGACAGAACATCTCAAACCTATTGACCTGATACAACAATACAGACAGAACATCTCAAACCTATTGACCCGATACAACAATACAGACAGAACATCTCAAACCTATTGATCCGATACAACAATACAGACAGAAAATCTCAAACCTATTGATCCGATACAACAATACAGACAGAACATCTCAAACCTATTGACCCGATACAAGAATACAGACAGAACATCTCAAACCTATTGACCCGATACAACAATACAGACAGAACATCTCAAACCTATTGACCCGATACAAGAATACAGACAGAACATCTCAAACCTATTGACCCGATACAACAATACAGACAGAACATTTCAAACCTATTGACCCGATACAACAATACAGACAGAACATCTCAAACCTATTGACCCGATACAACAATACAGACAGAACATCTCAAACCTATTGATCCGATACAACAATACAGACAGAACATCTCAAACCTATTGACCCGATACAAGAATACAGACAGAACATCTCAAACCTATTGACCCGATACAACAATACAGACAGAACATCTCAAACCTATTGATCCGATACAACAATACAGACAGAACATCTCAAACCTATTGACCCGATACAAGAATACAGACAGAACACCTCAAACCTATTGACCCGATACAACAATACAGACAGAACATTTCAAACCTATTGACCCGATACAACAATACAGACAGAACATCTCAAACCTATTGACCCGATACAACAATACAGACAGAACATCTCAAACTTATTGATCCGATACAACAATACAGACAGAACATCTCAAACCTATTGACCCGATACAACAATACAGACAGAACATCTCAAACCTATTGACCCGATACAACAATACAGACAGAACATCTCAAACTTATTGATCCGATACAACAATACAGACAGAACATCTCAAA